TTAGATTGAAAGGAAGGAATCAGGAAGTGCTCCAAACTACTTAAAACCAAACAATATGTCATGCTGTAGATTTTAATTAAAAATATATAGTCATATTAAATGATGGGCTCTTATCTGAACCCTCTGTTCTGCTCTGTTGCTACTGTAACATTTGCTTCAAAAACCTATGGCTTAAAATTGTAGAAAATTAGTCCCTTTGTGACAGTGAAAGAGGGATTACAGGACATAGTAAAAATGTTAGCACTTTAATTGCTATTGTGTGTGTCAAATTATTCTTTATGCAAAAATGGCCATCCCATTTGCCTGTAAATTAAAAAATGCTTAAAAAGACTGATAACAAAGTTAATTTCAAAACAGATTGATGTTTTTTTCCTCTCTCTCATACTTAATTGCATTGGGTTCTATTCACAAAAGTTGCTCTTAACAATGGGGGTAGCTAAACAAATTTCCAGTGCACGCATTTAGAGTTTTCTTTTTTTTAATATGTTGAAAGTGTTTGTGACATACAAAGAGGAGATACAAAGCAAACGTACTGTACCCCTGTGATTTGATGGATGGAGCTAATATTTTCTCCCCTGCCCAACAGTGACGGACTATAGCTGCTGCCAGATATAACATCCATTCCACTTCTCAAATAAAGCATAAATTAAATGTTTAAATGCCCCACTTTGATTTTTCTTATTTCCTTGCTACACAAAGCTCTAAGTGATTAGCATTGTTTATTCCTCTTTCTCTACAGTAAAACTTTCTCTCCCAATTAACTGTAGGCCATTAAAACCAAAGGAAGACAGCATTGAAAATGCACCATGCAAAATACCTGTATTAGGTAACCATATTTATACTGTATCTGCACATCACATTCTTAACATGTTTATATATGAAGTACATAAAGGAACATACTCACTTTAAAAAACACCTAATTGAAGATTTTTCTAGGAAATTCTCTACAGCACTCCTTGAGTCATACTTTATCTGTTCTTTGTTCAGAATAATCCTTTTTTCTGCAGGAAAATTTCAACATTGTATGCAGCAGCTTGATTCTTTAGATATTTTTAGATGTTTTTTTACTTTTGAAAGTGGTCACTTGACATATCAAAGAAAATAGATTGTTTTGTGAGATAGCTACAGGCATTCAGTATTTGCCATTGTGTGATGTTGTAAAAGTGATACATGTCACTTAAAACTTACATTCTAATGTTTGACCCACATGGTTAACTAGGTACTACTATGCATTGATTTAACATTAGTCTATATCAGACAATGGAAAGTTCACTAATCAAGACATACTTTCTTTGAGCTTCGCATCTGAAAGACTAATCCTTCAGCAGCATTTTTCAACATTCTTCCAGAGGTCTGTTCTATAGATTTTTACTATGTTTACATTGCATGTAAAACATACTACTGTATGTACTGTATTGACAGGCCTTAAAAATAGACATACTGAATAAGTGACATACTGTAAGTGTGAAACTAGACAACCATGGTTCTCAATTCTTCAGCCCATTAAATTCATTAATGGCACAAGATATAGGAAATAAAATTCCTAGAGAAATTCTTCATTTTTTGACTGCTGACTAATGAAGGACAACTTTCTTCCCTGCTGAATTTGAATGCTGTATGCAGTGATGTCAAAAGATAAGTGATTATATGGTAGGTGGGTTTATACTGTAGCTATATAGGAAGGAGATTCCATGATACGAATTACAGTACTTATCCTAGAGGAGTGACTATTTCTATCAAACCTCAACAAATGATTTGAAGTCTGGTGGTTTTGCTGAAAACCAGAAACTAACCAAGGCAATAATCTTAATGAGTACAGAAGCAAAAGATTGGAAGGGATTTAATAAACCCTGCTGACAATATCAACAGAAACTTCTTCGGAGTGTATCTCTCCTAAGTACATTCAAAGCACTTCCAAAGAAGAGAATATATCTGTATTGTGAAACAATCCATGAACTCTTGTTCAAGATATGAAATAATAGAATTCTAACCTCATGAATGTTTTTTTGATTTTGTGGTGTTTAAGCCACGTCACTTTAACACTGTTATTAAAAAGCTCTCTCAAGCACTAGCAATATACAGCCTGATTTTTGAAAGAGAATTTTTGTCTGTCTTGTAGTTTATTTTGAATATTCTGAACAGGCTGCTCTCCAGGGATTTGGCTGTCTGAGTCTGGACAGCTAAATGAAAAAAAAAATAGCACTGAAAGAACTCATGATGAGAAGAGATGCCCTCTTCTTTCAGGCATAAGAATATATGTAAAAAAACAACATTTATGTGAGGTTTTCAAAATGATATGGCAATTATCACATTTCTCTAAATCATGGGTCAAAAGAAAGAAATGCTTGAGCAGTAAGTGACTTAAATGGTATTCCAGATCTCCTGGATTTAAGTAACATATAATGTTGATGTTTCTGAACAACAACAATAGACTTTTCACTGATGATTGCACACATTAATTGTCCAATAAGTCCCATATTTAGCTTTCATTCATTTTAAAAATGAAATGTTGCTAGACTTACTTGGAGAGGGATCCAAAGCATAGGTACTTTGATCTAAAAAAGATATACAAAAAGTCATAGCTTCTGCAAATTCACTTAATAGGATTACTCATATTAGCACAGTTTTATTGTAATCAGAAAAAATACATGCATTATTAGTGGGAGGCTGTATCAAAATGCTATATCAGTAATTTTAAACTAAACAGACTGCAATGAGGCAGACAAACAGTGCAGGTAAAAAAAGCACAGCCTTTTTGTTTCTTAGGCATAAGAGGGTTAACAAGGAGTTCACTATATTAGCTTAACTCATTGATTTTAGTTTCATTTTGACATTTCTGAATTTTGTAAATATTAAGATCTTTTGTGACTTTGACACTTTGGTGAATTGCAATCCTGCCATTTGACATTTATATTGCAATTAGTGTGTATTATTTTCTATTGCATTAACAGTGGCTGAGGCGAAGTACACGAATTTGCAGCTAATTAGTAAAAACAATGATCTGGCTACTCCTTGAACTATTCAGTTGCCTCGGTAACATCATTTTGACAGAGCAAATACCCAAATCTTATGGATTATTTCAGGAAGAAGTTGATATGTTGTAAGAAGGCTTTTTGAAGTAAAAATAAAAGCAGAAAAAAACAGATGAAGGCAGACATTAAAATAGTGCGGTGAGGGGAAAAAATAGGACTGAGTAAAAATAGAGTGATAATTACCAATTAGAAAAAACAAACTAATTAAGAAGCACTATTTTTATTACGTTTTTTTCTGCTGCAGGATGTGCAGTATACTGTATATGTAAAATTTTCTGTCGCTGGATTTACATTGATAAGATAATATAAGAAAAAGAAACAAACTAGACTGGCAGAAGTAACACACTGAAACAATGTGTGGCTGTACTAGCAGACCCATTCTACAGGACTATAATGTATTCAGCACGAAGTCTTTACAAAGGAGCCCGCACAAAGTGACTTTATCTGGAATGTTTGCAGAAATTTGTTGATCAGGACATCATATTTCTGCCTTTTCAAGTCTACTCACTGGGTATTCTCTCAATTATTATATTGTCCACTACATGTTGAGCTACCCAAATCGTCTTTCTAATAACTTAACTTTAATTACTTTATCTACTTACAGTTTGCATATCTGTAAATATAGAAGTCCCTTTATGTATGATACTTACATTATTAGCCTTTTACACCTGTTTCCTGAAGTGCAAGAAACTACTCTCAATTAGTGATTCTATTGAGAAACCATTCATGAATTAATAATTGTTTACTGGTTTTAAACAAAGAACAATAACATTTTTACTATTGCTGAGGAGGCTGATGTAAAATTAAATATTCATGAAAAGAGTGGAAAGATGCTTCATTTACTGTTAACTGAAAGCCTGGTTAGGAGGTGTTAGCTGGCTAGGGTAATGCTGAATTTGAGAAGATGCCCTGTGGTGTACACATAAATATCAAATCTCACTTCTCTCTTTCCTTGTGGATTAAAAAACCAACAGGTAAGAAAATTCATCTGTCTCTCCTCCTTGGGTCATGTCCTGTGAATCAGAAGGATCTGATTATTAGGTGCTGTCAGTCAGTGTAAACCTAGACCTAGATGTTTTAGTTACGAGATATAATCAAATGTTTTGTCCATATCTAGTTTTTACTAGATTACTTTGCATATTTTTGTTTTATTTTCAATTCAAAATGCAATTAAATCCCCAAACAAAATGCACACATGTAAATAGTTATTCAAAAGAGACAGGAATATATTACAATATATACATTTTTCCCAGGTCTGTGTGAGCAGAACTTAACCTACTGATTTATTGATATTTAAGTACATGGAGATTTCCGATCAAATCATTCATAATCCCAGTGATCTGAATCTGAACCACTCGAGTACTGACATTTTTTAATTTATCTGTTTTATATATTAGTTCAAAACGAGAAGGAAGAGTTGAAACACAACCACATAACACTGTGAAGTAGAAAAGCTTAATCACAAAGTATACAGTATATATACAGTATCTCATTGTTATCAGGAGTCACACAATAACCGCGATTATAATCACCACATGAAACTGCCACCGCAGAACTTTCAAATCTGTAAAATTAATTAAATTGTTTACGACCGGTGGGCTTTTCTTGTGATTTGATAATACTTTTAAAACGGTTTGAAAAAAAATAGCCTGGTTATACAGTATGTTCTAGAGCAAACGAGAAGATAATGCAAATTTCGGATTGCACTTCACTTGGTGATGAATATTAACCGAGTTTTAAATTAAATGTCATAAGACATCTCGCATAAGACAAGCTCGCGGCTGCAACATCCCCCTTAGGGCAAAAAAAATCTCGTGACTCCTCCTTTCATTACATCTGGATTTAGGTGGTAAGTCCGAGAACACTGGGCTAGAGGTCTAATTTCATCTGATGTATAGTGAGACCGCTCTCAACACGGTGTCAAACCAACTGAGAATCCCTATCACTCAACAAAAATACCAGGTTTGGTCTTGCACAGAAACCAGAAATAGCAAGAGCAGCGGTTAAACGTCAGAATAACAAAGGAGCCTCTAAAGACTTATCCCTGCCGAGGCTTGACATAGCGTTTGAACTTCATTTGCGCAGCAGATTTATGCTTGTATATATAGAGAAAACGGGCATTCTCTAAACGGGAAATTTCTTGTGTAAGACAATGCCTTATCATTGGCTGAGAGCACTTTAGTTAAAAATGCTTCCTTGGGTGAAAAAGTCTGCTGCAGAAAGCAAATAAAATGAGGATGAACAGTGAATTTAGAAAGTTATGAGCACGTCCACTTAGAATGAGTTTATATTTAGCCGCTTCAAAAAAAAGAAGAGCAGTTTTCAGTCAAAAATCAATCACACGTGGAGAGGGAAAGTTGGATATATCTTCAAGGAAAGTCTGTGCTGCCTCGAAGACAGCTTTGAACGTCTCTAGTCACACTACTTCAGAGATTGGGGTCGCTGATAATTTGAAGCTCTCAGTTTCAGCCGCTATGAGAAACTAAATCTGATCTCGGTATTTCAGTTTTGGACAGATCCGATTAAAAAATGAAGACAAAGGAAAGATGAAAAATCGAAAATCTCTCTAGAGAAAGCGTAATCACTGCCTAGCAATTAGCCTTTGGTTTTATTTTGAATAGTTTCCATGCGGCTATTTCGAGCAGCTTTTGTCGCGCAAAGTGAAAGCACTTTCCATATGTCTAATTGTTGATAGAATAGTGAACTTGCAGCAGAAAACAATTTTTTATTGAATCCAGATTTCTCAAACCATATTTCTGTTGTGCTACCTAGAGTCAGAGCGAAGAGTGTATTAACATTGCAGACACGGGAGTTTCGCATGAGGCTCTGCATTTCAAGGCATGGACAATTCACGCGAATTTGACTCCGTTTCAGGACCAAGGACAGATCCACATCCAAGCTGTGGCAATTCGAACTGAGCAGGAATACGCGGACAGCTTGAGCGCAGAACCCAAGGCTGGACAAGTCCACACATGGAGTAGTTTAAATTCACCGAGAAAACCGATTCCGAATTACACAGGTAAGGATACTTTTTGTTTTTCTTTAATTCGGCTTACACACGCATTACGTTTGAAACCATTAATAATATTGTAAATTGTACAGTAACAGCTATCATCTTATTAGGATACATAAGCTTGCTCATCCGAGGAATAGTGCTCTAGGAATATTAACAATCATTCGGATAGGAAAATTCTTCGATCTTTATTAAACAGTTCTAACAACGTTTTGGAAATAGATAATAACTGCATATACTGTACAGTATGTAATTCATACAAACCAGACTGGCTGTTGGAAGATTTCACTCTTCTTCATTCTAGTTTAACACCTGTTTTATATCGTAATCAAATGCTATTTTTATTTATTGATGGTATTCAATATAAATAGGTTTATGATTAAGATTAATGTCTCTCAACTTTTAAGTTGTGAAGTGACAATTATTCTCATACCCAAATTAACGTATGCAGGGCAGTGCATTAAAAAATCATACTGTATACTCCACATATGATATTTATTTACCCTCGGGGTTCGAATATAGTGAATATATTGATCACTGGTCAACAACATCCTATTAGTTTAAACAAGGTCAAGGTAGAACTCTGGAGTACAGTGCAGGGCTGAAGCATACCTTTTTTGCTACTTTGACTTGAATGGAACATTAAGAATGTTTGTTTTATAAAGTAAATTGAAATAAAGTAAATTTTAAAAAGTAAAGTGAAGTTGTTGATTCAGTCTCATCACACTCAATACAAGTGTAATGTGTCTATTTCTGCATCTGTATATACACTATTAATTTCAATGATACAAAACCAGTGCAGAGTTCTGTACTTGGAACATGAGCTCTAGTAAAAGATGTGAAGTACACACACCCTTTCCACACCTTAGTGCAAAGATTTTCCAAATATTTACCAAAAAAATATTAGCTTGTCTTTTTATCTCATAAAACACAGACGAGAACTTTGGATGGAATACTTACGATAAGTACATTAATAGTGAAAGATAAAGACAATGAAAACACTTTGCATGTTTTATTACATGCTGTTACTAATTGCTTGAGAATTGTTTTTATGGTGGTTGTGATTGTAATGGGCTTTCTGCTACATAGCCTTAGGTGGATAATGTAAAGGAAAAAGCATGCTATCAAATTCACCTTACAGGAGTGCAGTATATGTTTTATTTAGTTAAAGTCAAGAAATCGATGACGTTCCATTATAGAGCTATGTCTGTGATTATAATAAATTGTTAGTGGGGACAGTTTTATAAGGTTATTCATCCAAATGGAGTAATGTTGCATTTATAGTGCTTACTCTTACTGTGCATTTACATAGTAATTGAGCTTGAGTGAATGTAAATAATCCAGAAACATGTTTTTCTGATCATGGCTTAGGCTATATATGAGGTTATTCATCTGTGAAGTTGCCATCAATTCTTTACATGTACTTTCTGAAGACAAAAACAGAACATGACTACTTAGCATTCTTAGCATATTCTTAGCATATTAAATGAAATAAAAGCAGATAATAATCAAAACACTGTAAAAGCCTAGAGCAATTTACCCAATGGTAAAAAATACTTCAACCATTTTGCACAACTAATTGGTAACAGAATCATGACAGGAGAGCAACAGACCTTTCTGAATGGCTCAGCAGTACCACAATAACTAAATTAAATGTGTTTTAAAATATGAATGTCACAGTATGGAAAAGTTAGTTGACTGTTTTTCAAAATTATTAAAATATCCTAATGAAAATTAATGTTAATTGCTGATTTCTTGATAATATACAAGAAAAGGTAACTATCTGCTAAGGTTGAATTTGCAATTGATACCTCATTAGAAATAAGACAAGCAATTGTAACCCCAACAGAGAAAATTAATGATGTTTGATGAATTCTATGATATTTCATCATCAAAGCAGTCAGAAAAGACTTTCATTATTAATAGTGATTGTAGAATATTTTACTCAAAGGAAATTGTTTTCTAATTCATACAATAAAGCTGCTTGTAGTTAAACATCTCATGATCAGACCTTATCCTTGTAAAATGGGTTAAAACTGTGAAAATCACAAAATAATAATTTAAGGAAAGGTGTACTATAGATAACAATACATAATTATCACAATTTCTTGTCTCAGTTTGGAGTGCTGTGACATTAACCTTTAATATGACTTCAATTCACTTCCCTTGTAATTGATTCAACATGGAAGGGATGAGCTTTTTTGAAAGTGTAGCATCTCACCCCATGCGGAAGAGAATTCATGACACACAATCCCACAAGATTCATAAGAGCAAGGATAGATCATATGAAGGAGTGCGTATTTATAACTCAGCAGCTGCAGCAGTTTCTTTCAAACTTTAGTTCACATACATCTTTTGTATGGAAATGTGGTGTGCTTATCAAAAATGCTGTTTTTCTAATATTGCTGTATAGCACATGTGTTGATAATATGTGTGTATAGGGAGAAAGATGGTGTCTTATCTCTAACTTAAGCATATTAAACAGCATTTAAAACTGTACATGAGAATACTACCTTGGGCACTCTTGCAACTTAAAGCACAACATTTGCCTTTCTTTAATACAATTATTAATTTATGCCTCAATTTATTCTGCATGCCTGCATATTTGCTTATTTATCTAGTAGAAACATTAGTGAGTTCATGCATAATAGCAGTACTGTACTGTGTATACATACTGTCTGCATTTGTGACGCAGTACATATTTCGAAATGTCTGTTGTACATACAGTATCTGTGTGTAGTGTTATGCTCTTTTTGTTTCTTATTAGTTGATGGCAAAGGCAGACTATACACTTATTAAATATTTGTATGTGTATATTTAAGAATAAACAGTGCATTATGATACTATTCACATCCACGCATTTCATATTTTGTTACTTTAAAGCTTGCAGTCACAACACTTTAAAGTAACAACTAATATTAACATTCAAAGCGAAAACCAAAAAGACGTAAAAACAGTAATGAATATGAAAAATGGAAATATCATGATTGCTCAAGAATTCAAACCCCTTGCTGTGGCACACCTAAGTTAATGTAGGTGCACAAAACTACCTTAATAAAGCACACAATTACTTAAGTGATGTCTGTGTGCAATAATGGTGGTTAACATGGTTTCTGTATAAATACATGTGTCCCTGTAAGATCCTTCAGTCTGGTATTTCAAGCAACGATTCAACCATGAAGACCAAGGAGCTTCATGAACAATGCAGAAATACTGTATAATGTAATTGTATAAAGCCACACTTCAAGAGACAAGTATTAAACATTTCAAGGTCCCTTACTACAGTATCTCTTTGAGCATAGTGAAGTCAATAATTAAGAAGTATAACACACACAGGCACTGCCTAGATCAGGCTGTCCCTTCAAACTAAGCAGCCGGTCAAAATGGAATCCTTTGGATACTGTATGCCACTGTGAGGCGGAGACTTTGAGACAGTTAAAGTTCAGTGGCAGAGATGGGGGAAAGCATTCATGGGTCAACAATATCCCAGTCTCTCCACTAAGGAGACTTGTATAGTCCCCACAAAAAAAACTACATCTCAAATCCTACAACAAAACACCTAATTGATACTGCAGATGTGTGGCATAAAGGTTTTGAGGTCAGACAAGACAAAATTTGAACTTTTTGGTCTAATTGCAAAACATTACATCAGTCACATACAGTACCAGGCATATTGCATTATTCATCACTCATCAGCAGGGAGTGAGGAACTTGTAATGACTGATGGGAACATCTATGAAGAATAGTACTGGCAAATCATGGAGGAATACCTGCTTCAGATCTCTAAGTCTGGGACAAAAAACATATTTCAGCAGGACAATGATCCAAAAGCACAAGACCAAAGCTATGTTGGGTGGTTAAAGGATAAGAAAGTGAATGTCCTTTAGTGACCCAGTCCAAGTCCTGATCAGAATCTTTTTCAAGCAACCTGAGAGAGCATGAGCACATCTCCTAAGACGAAAAGGCAAAAAATGTTCCGAGGTAGTGAAAAAAAATGGTAGAGCGTTACCCTGAACAACTTGTGCCTGTAATCGCAAAGGTGCTTCCTCCAAACATTCAGTTCATGGGTCTGACTATTTATATAAGCAGCACATACATTTTTTTTTCTCTTTGGCTTTTGCTGACATTTGCTGTAACTTTATCTTACCCTTAACAATCTTTGGTTTTAGCTATAGGGTTTTGAATTAAATAGGTTTAAGAAAATGTTACAAGTCACAAAGTGGGAAACCATAGGAACAGGGAACAGTATATACAGTATCTCTCATGCTTAAAATGTCTGCTTGTATCTAAATTTGGGTAGTTTTAACTTCCTGATGATGTGGGTTCAATCTGAATTGTAGTATTTAAGGAAGCATGCTTTTGTTAGTTGATTAACTGGTATCTGAAGATGAATGTATGACTGCTGATGGCTTATTTGAAAGCTGTTTTATGTAGACAGCACACCTTAATAGAGGCTACTTACATTGCCAAAATAATATTCCTAGTCCTTTACTCCTTTACCACAATTTTCCTAGATGGTGTTATACTGTGGATATTGACCTCTGTCAAATAAAGTGTGACCATGTGGTTTTTACATTTAGTTAGTATTCACACTGTATACAGTAGCACTGTACTGTATATTGTGTATCATGTCTCACCAAAGGCTGGGAGCTGACTCAAAATCAACATATTGCATAGTATACTGTGAGACATTTATGTCTCTGATCTTTTTATAAGTATGTTTTTCTTTGATTTCGTACTATTGTTATAGAAATTACTATTCCATCCACACAATGGCCCCTGTTAACCCTTAGCTGCATCATTCTGCTATATCCCTGTAGCTGTCTTTCTCTGCCTCGACGCCAAAGGTTTGTTGTCGTTTTGAAGTCAATTGCGATCAAATACTTTTAGTGACTTTTATCATTCTCGATAATACGTTGTCATTTATCTTATATTTCTTTAGCTTGTGTCTTTTAATTTGGATTTTGCAGTGATTTTTCTCTTTGCTTTCTCTGTGTTCAAAGACA